TCTATGACAAAAACAGCACTTTACTTGGTTTACCAGGGAGCATACAAATATAAAATAAAACAGTGTATTTTTGTTGGCATCAGCTCCTAAACGTAAGAGAGGTTTCATAGTTTTAAAATGTCCGACTCAACCTGACGTCATGCACTGATAAGAACCTGACCCTGAGCCATATTTGGATTTACAGTACACTTTGTTTTAGTCACACAGTGTTCACATACATTTGGGGGGAGGTCAGAAAAATTTGGTGTTAAAGTGATTTATACGTGTAGTTCTATGACTGAATGTCTATGTACAAAGGAGAGAGGAAAGACATGATGAAATGCACAGTAAAACGTTCTGTACTATCAGATACTAAAATGAAAATATGTGAACTTTAGTACTAGCAGGCCTTTTAGTAGAAGCAGCAGAATATTCAGCCATAATCATTTGTATAAGCATGTATAGTAATAGTGATGAGAATGAAGGATAGTAGTCCTGGTTGTATTAGTATTTTTAGTAGTAATGGTGATGGTAGTAGTAGTAGTTTTGATTTGTGCTGAGTTCTGTGCATTTGTAATCAACAATATTAGTTTTAGTTATAGTAGTACTTGTTGGTGTAGTAATAATAGCAGTATTTGTAGTTGCAGTAGTAGTAATATTTATAGAATTAAACACAGTTGTATGCTAGTATTATTAGTTTTAGTAGTGATTTGTATTAATTGGTATAGAGGTAGTTATGGTTTTAGTAGTTGTTAGTAGTAGTTGTTGTTGTATTAGATGTTGTATTTCAAATAGCAACAGGTTTATTTCTCCAAATTGAGAATATGCAGATATATTCTCTTTGGCAAATGCAGAAGTATAAAATAAAATTGTAAAAAGTAAGATTATTACATTGTTAATACAGTGAGAGAAACCAGACCCCTCCCACAGGAAACAGAGCCGTACTCCTCTTCTCCTTTTATGGCCATAACTCCCCCAAAACCCACAACATCGCCTCGGGAGTACAGTCAATGTCTAAGTATAAATCTCAGCGCCATGGGAACGGGGGAGCCGATTAGAGCGGAGAGAAGGAGCCTGCTACCAGGAAATCACAAACTGGTTAAATACAGGGGTTAAGTGCTTCATGTCATGCTAAAAGTATAGTAACTTTGGCCTTTTGTGAGAGCCAATTGGAAGCACATGCATTGTATTTTCAAAGCATTAAGGCAAAAATGTGGCAGTAAAAGTAGTATTTGTAATTTCCCCTGTCCCAGATGTCTAGTTTTATATACAGTATAATGCAGAGTACAAACCAAGATACTTGCAACATTGACTTTTCAGAGCTTTTAACCATGTTATAGTTGTTTCTCCTTCTCATGTACCCTTTTGAAGTTTTTGGAGTGATTCGTGCATGTTTGAGCCATCTTTAATCACTTATTTTCAAGACGCCATTTTGCCGATCAAACGCCCATTGCTCTGTACTTACTTTGTTCTCCAATTTTATTTTCTTAATTGGTCATACACTTAAGATTCAGCAGTGTTTTGTAGTCATTTTGGTTGTGATGACATTTGGTGCAACGTCTGCTTCCACTGGGCACCACAGTTTTCTAACGCTGAATTGAAGTTCTAAGCGTTATTTAAATCTATATAAGTTTAAAAAAAAATTATTTTTTTTTAGTTTTATTTATTTAAAAGGGACAATGCATATTCATGAACATATACTTGTAAATACGCCAGAATTAACCCAAAGGCTACTTTTCATCTGTAGTCCCTGGCAGGTCAGACTGATAGAGACATAAAACATAAAATATAAGAACATAAAACGCGTCACAATAGACAAACACACAAGCATGACATACAACACTGACATTTACATAGGAGCATAACATTAGTGGTTACAGATCTGGTTTCTCTTAAGCCATTGTTTCAGATTACTTTTAAATGAACTGAATGTGGTGGAGTCTCTTATAGCAGCTGGGATGTTGTTGTTGGTGATGTTGTGGTCAAGTCTAGTTTATTTTAAATTGTTTTATTTTAATATAGTGATTTAAAATGTGCAAATGAAAACATAATCATAAACTTAGTAGATTTAGACTTAGACTTAGACAAACTTTATTGATCCATAAGTGAAATTATTTGGACACAGAAGCTCACATATCACAATACAGCATAATAACAAAGAGCAAAAATATAAATGGTATTAATACATTCTAAATAAGTAGCAAAATATATAGCAAGAGACCGGTGTCAAATAAGACATAATTATATAAATGTAAATGTACAAGTAAAAAACACACAATCTTTATACAAGAGGTCATCGGAAGACAGTGCAACAATGATATGAAGATTGACAGGAAATAGGGTTATCCATTAATAAGAATAATTCTATAATACTGTAATAATAATCTACGGGTGTTACAGATTATTGCAGACTCAAACGCAATATTCTGTTCTTAAAATATGTTAACAGTAAATGTACGTAGAGCCATAGAGAGAGCTGTCTTGGGAAAGTTATCAGGTGTAAAACATGCAGGGGAAATGATTGCCAGATTTGAGATGACATTATAACAGTCTAGTGATGCAAAATGCTGGCACTTGCCCTCCACCTGGGAGCAATTTAAACACAATGAGCAGTTAAAATACAACTATGAATAGAAATATTACTACTACTACTGCTACTACTACTACTACGACCACTAGTACAGCACTACTACTATCTTTCAGCATGGGGAATAAGATGCATTTCCTAAAATACTGTATGTAATAGCCCCTCTTATACCACTTAATACATTCTTCCCCATCAACACTATGTTTAAGTCAAACACCTGTGGTTCTTCTTTAGTGACAGATTTGTGACCTTCCACTGGTCGGGGTAAGAAGACAGTGGCTGAGGTTACAAGAACAATTTAAATGCGATTATTATCTGATTTTTAAGAGTTATTTAGAACTATTGAAATGTAAACAGCAAAATAATTTTCTTCCTTTCTGATCATGGTTTTTCTGATCACTCACATCATTTAAGTAATTTCCCTTGTGTATCAATAAAGTCTGTCTAAGTCTAAGTCTTAGTAGTGCATGCCATTCAAATAAGCTTAAATGTTTAGAAGTCATATAATATTTAGATTTTGGTGTGCATGTAAACTGTTTAAATCTCATCATCATCAAAAAAAAGTGTGTCAGTTAATCAATGGATTTACTTGAAGTAACTGTTGTATATTTGAAGGAAAAAAGTACAATTAATTTGAAATAACTTATTCAATCATTAACATTTTATCTTTTATTTTTGTCTTTAGTTTGCACTTTTTTTTTTTTTGCATATTTTTCTAGTCAAAACCTGTGCTGGTGTGAAAAATCAGAAAGAAATAAAATTACTTGTTACTTTAAATTTCAATAATGTAAGTATTTCAAATAAGATGATGATCAAAGTTTGGTGTGCATGGACAACATAGACATTATCTCAAGATGCAATCCTACTGAATGACTGATCCAAATGTACCACAGTAGCACAGTCTCCTTTGTGTGTCTGACGTAAGCAGCGTCATCCCAATAAATACTCGACAAGTTCTTACAAATGCATTTAATGGAACAATGCTGACATGTCGGCTTTCAACTCCAAACAGGTGTGCTAACGTCATTATGGGACTATTGCCTCATTTTAAGACATTTATATAACTGAGGGTGACAGCAATATTAATAAAACATACACTTATGCTGTTACTGTAATGCCATGCACATTTTCAAAATGTCAGTGGATGCATAACAACTACCCATCTCCCTATTTTAGTGAGTATAAGAGTCCTTCTGTAGATCCCGTAGATCTATTTACATCCTCTCAGAGAGCCCTGTGTCACTATTACACTGGTGAAAAGTGGCATGTGTTTAGGTTAGGATTAAGTTATTTTTATACTAATCCTTTGCTACCCTAATAATTACCTCTGTGGATTATGAAATGGCATACCCCGGGAGAAGTATTTGTGATAGGCTATATTTAGCTGCAGGAACCGCTTCATATTGTTCAGAGGGATTTTCTTTACCACAGATTATGCTATTTACATATTTTTTGCATAGTTAATGACTTGATGCTGTAATGAATTATGTTCATGCTTTTGAAAAGTGTTGGGCAGCAACTAGTTATAAAGTAACGGATTACTGTAATCAGTTTTTTACTAACACACTAATGTAACTAGTTACAATAGAAAATTGAGTAAGATGATTGAAGTTACTTGCCCTAATAGTTTAGGGCAAGTAACTTAGTGATATTTTCCCTGCCACAAATGTGAGTAATCTAGAGAAATATGTCATAAAATAGTTGAAAAAAAAAAGGTAAACCGGTAGCAAGTTATGCCATTTTGTGGTGTCAGGAGCAGATCAGATATGAACCAAAACAATAAAAATATTGGTTTATGAAGGAGTAACTGTGTGTTGCCTCTGCTTGACATAGGTTCTTTAACAGAAAATGTAATTAGTGTGAAGAATTTGTGCTTTTTTTTTTTTAGTTTTTTTTTTTCCTTAAGTAACCTAATGTACAGTATCATCTAAACATATCTTCTGAAAACAAAATAATCACAGTAGTAAGATTTCGTTTAGTATTAAGTAGTCAGTAATCAGGTTCGTTTTGCAAAGTAGCCCATTCTGACACTGATTATGTATTACAGTCAGTGCTGACATTTTTCTTTTCTCCAGTGGAGGGCACCAGATCCAAACATTAGCCAGACTCTTCTCTGTTGTGGAAAGCGCTGAAGCTGTGGTTTTAAGAGTGGTGTTACATGTGTTTTTACACTAACAGGGCTTAATATAACATAACTTAACATAACATAACACTTAAAATGATACAAACTTGTATATTATTCTTTAATGTTATATTAACAGTCCAGCAATACCAGTGATTTATCAACACAGTATTATGTCATAGAACTGACTAATATTTTATGTTAAAGTTCCAAGTTTAAGTGTATCTGTCTCGGCACCTGCCAAAACCAGCCAGTGCCAACCAACTTTGCACCTGTTGGCGTGTTTCCGCCTCTGCAGCAGAGGGCGCACTCTGCACACCCGGGGGCTGTATTAAAAAGGGAAGGGTCGCTTTTCTGTGCATTAATTTGATCTGTTTTATGATGTCTGATCGCTTTAAGTCGCTTTGAGGTTCAGTGTTACTATTTGTTAAAACGAGCTCGGCTCGTATCCATTAGGTCAAGATGTCAGCGAGCGCTGTTTATGTCTTGGATCTAAAAGGGAAGGTAAGATAACGGAACAGCTGCTCTGATGCTAACCTTAGCCTGTGGCTAACAGCGGCTAACACCACTGAATAACATTCCTCACAGATTATGATGTGGCTGAGGGAGATTTAGCATTGGCTCCGAAAGCTCTGATGTGGCATTTCGTGCACTGTGCACCGTAATCATTTATACATATTTAAAAGAAAGTGTAATGATAGCAGTCCAAGTGCAGGAATCGAAAAGAATATTGATTTTCTGGCATCATCAGTCATTAGCCTTCTGTTCTCAATGTCTCTTGTGGTTTTTGGTTACGTGTCATCACACATAGTTAAAGTTACAGTCACTTGGTTGTCGTTACCGCTGAGCTGACAGATGCTTTGGCTTCAGACCAGTGTCACTGTCATAGGTGCATCAGTGATAAAGCAGAGACTCTGACCTCTCAGATTACAGCGCGGAGACTGTGGCCAGCTCTCATTACTCGTCTCATAGGGCTATTTGGCTGCATCCCTACCTGTGATAACTAAAGCCAATCTTCACATGTAGAGTGTACTGTCACAAAGACTTCCACTATTTATCAGTGTGCTCAGAATTAGGCACTAATGAATCCTTTATTATATTACTTGTACTTGTAGGTGCTGGTGTGCCGAAACTACCGTGGCGATGTGGACATGTCTGAGATTGAGCACTTCATGACCCTCCTGATGGACAAAGAGGAGGAGGGAACACTCTCCCCGATCCTCGCTCACGGGGGAGTCCGCTTCATGTGGATCAAACACAACAACCTCTACTGTATCTTTTTATAATATACACTGTTATAACAACCTGAACATTGGAATAAGTATCCAAGAAAAAAGGAGAATATAGGTTTTAGGTAAATTAGTTTGAGATTAGGAAACTGATTGTGTGTTTAATCTGCCTTTTTACAGATAAATGCACTGTTTATTACTACTTCTCTGTATAAACATTTGTAATTTAGCAAAATCTTGTGATCTTGTCTGTGCACTTTGGGTCAGATACATGCTCAGATCGTAGAGATACTTCATAGTTTAGAGAACTTTTGCCAGCACTGCACACCCTTTTTTAAGTCAAATGATTGATGCGCAGAGCAGTTTGTTTAGTTGACTTCAGCCCTCAAGCCAACTGTCTTACTGCAAGGGAATCTGCTGTATGGACCTTAACATATTCTTCAGTGGTGGCAACCTCCAAGAAAAATGCTAGTGTTTCTTTGGTGTTCTCATTTTTGTACAAAATTGTTCAAGTATGTATATATCAAAGCATTTGGTGCTTCTCATAGTTGTAACTTGTTTTATAAATTATATTAATATCTGTTTCTTTCTTCAGGTTTTCTCAGAGTATTTCAAAGAACTGGAGGAGGAGAGCATTAGAGATAACTTTGTCATCATTTATGAGCTCATGGATGAACTGATGGACTTTGGTTACCCACAAACCACTGATAGCAAGATTCTGCAAGAGTAAGTAATTTACACAAGAAGTGAAGAGTCAGTATTAAATTAAACCAAATTAGACCATCTAGAGGTTAGGAGTGATAACTTAATTCCTAACAACATGATGTGGTGCATTGCTCACCAGTTTAAGGGATAGTGCTTGCTTTTGAGGTTTTGACTACAGAGTGACATGAAAAGTATCCAGGAAGAAACACAATTTTTCCAGACTCATTTATCAATATACACTATGTATTCTTGGTCTGATTTGGTCTGTCTCACAGCGTACAAGGTCTTATAATTATTGTTGTATTTATCCATATTGCTACTACCACATATGCATTGTTGTACATATTCCTGTAACTGTACCCAACAAATCGATTTAGTCTTTTTTTTTTTTTGTTAGTTCACATTTTCTTGTAGAAGGTATGCCACCGGCTTGTCTCTATGGAGATGCTGGGAATGTTGGAGCTGTATGGTATTTCTTTAATTACACAGTTTTTATAGCTCAAATATCCATTAAAAACATGCATTTTGTGAGTGAGGTCACCTTTCCACATACTTGACCTTTAAATTGACCTGGTCTTGGCACCTGCTTGTTTCCATGGAGATAAATCAGTTCAGGAACACACTGTGGAGCTTTCCTGGCAAAGCTGTTACTTCTCCATAGTTACACAGCGCACCTTTTACTTGCTTTCTGACTATTAAAGTGTTGAAACAATATTATTAGTTATATTTATATTATGAGAAGCTGTCGCAGTCTGGATTTCCCCTCCTGTTTCCTAGATTACACAGACAACATATTTCCGTAACCGTGGGAGACACTTTGATGTTTTTTTAGGAATCCAGACAGGCTCTAAATTTCCTCTTTTCTGAGTGTTTATGTGTTTGTTTGTCAGATACATAACACAAGAAGGCCACAAGCTAGACACTGGCGCCCCTCGTCCCCCAGCAACAGTAACCAACGCCGTGTCTTGGAGGTCAGAGGGCATCAAGTACAGGAAGAACGAGGTCTTCCTGGACGTCATCGAGTCGGTCAACCTCCTGGTACGGAGCAATGTTTGTTTTAGTTTTACATACACACACATACACATACATGCACATGTACTGGGGTCAGATTTTTGTCCCCATAAGGCAGAGAGGTTCCCATAATCTGTGTGTCTATACAGATTTTATTCCCCACAATGTGATAAATACCAGCCCACACACTCCCTCTGCTTGTAAATGTCCTTTTTCCTCTGTGTCACACTGTGCAGCCCCCGGGATTTCTAAACATTTCATTGTGTAATATTTGAGAAAGTAGTGGGATTAATGTGTATGAGTAATGTTATAGTGTAATAAGGTCATTGTAGTGGTACAGATAGTGTGGACGTGTAATTAAAAGAAATCAAACTCCTCATCCAGCCTCTTTTTAAACTTGCAATATTTAGAATTTTAGTATTGTCCCTAATATTTCATTTTAGCTAAACAAACTCTACTTCTAAGCTGATACGTTGCCATCATCACAATATTTCATATTTTGAATCCAGCACCATGGTCAAAAAACACTTTTCTGGTCCATGCTTTAACACATAATTGAATGACTTGCTTTTAAAAAGAACCAATTCCTGTTCACTAGAATGCAGTCATTGTTATGTGGCAACTGCCAGACAGTGACGACAACAATGTTCAATGTTCAGTGCTGTAAGTTGTAAAAATGTACATACTGCTTACTTTGCAGATCGCATATTTTATACAGGCAGTAGAATAACCCATAATCTGAAAGTGCTGTTAAAGGTGCATTATGTGACTTTTCTGATAGAGGGTCACCTGCTTGTTTCTATGGATATGTCAGTGTTCTGCCTGGAATATTCCACAGTATGACATTAAACAGCTCTGCCTTACATTTATTTTATTACAGGTAGTTTTATAGCTCAAAAAAACAAACATTCTGACTGTGAGCGGGGTCGCCTCTTCACAGATCTGACCTGTAACTTTGTCTGACTTGGTCTCCATGAAGATAGAAAGATTTAATACCATACTGTGAAACATTGCAGACACCAATAACATCTCCATGGAGAAAAGCGTCTGACGGACCCAATGCACCTTTAATCTAGCATTTATGTTTTGATACAAGTTAAGACCAGTAATTATTCTTACTGAAGGTTGGTCATATTCTACTGTCTTCCTCCTAGATTGATTATCTGTGTATGTGTGTTGCAGGTTAGTGCCAATGGTAACGTCCTCCGCAGTGAGATTGTGGGCTCCATAAAGATGCGTGTGTTCCTGTCTGGGATGCCTGAGCTCCGGCTGGGCCTCAACGACAAAGTGCTGTTTGAAAACACTGGACGTGAGTTCCTCTACAAACAAAGCAGGGGGCAGAGAGGAAAGGGTGACCTGGGGGTCTGTGGTCATTTAGAAAGCATGTGTGGAAGAGGGGGCAGTTCCAAGACGCCTCGTTCCTATTCACAAAAAACATTATCTTATAAGCAACAGTGAGGGGATTTCAGGGTTCAAAATGCAAGATGTGTATTTTGTTTATTGTGTTTGTTGATACATTATGATCATTGGAAAGAAAGCTTCAAATTAGGAAAAAAAAAAAGAGAAACGTAGATAGAAATACACTACTAAAAGTACAAAAATTGCTCAAAATTTAATAATATAGTGGAAGAATAGTGTGACTAGTACAATTTCATTTTTACATGCTAGTCAAAAGGTTTTATTTATTTATGTTTTTTTCTTCATTTCTTAAATTTTTTTTTAGATTACAAAATGAAAAAATGTAGTGTAAAAACATTTAGCACAGTGAAGACATTTTTTTTTTAATAAATGACACCCCCCAAGCAGTACCCAGTTTATAAATGATAATAAAATCTCTCAGCAAATGTTCCAATAATAATTATGGCAAGTTTTCCTCTTCTGTTTTGAGCAGCTGTAGATCACAAAGTTGAAGCACTCACCTCCGCCTGTTTCTCAGTTCTTTAAATTGGTCTTGAATTTTACCTGTTGTAATGCTTTTACTGTATATTACTGTATGTTTTCACAACAACAGATCTCCATCTGTGTTATTTGACCACATCCTTAATAACTTTGCCTCCCATGTCGTTTTTTTTTTGTTTGTTCAGGAGGGAAGAGTAAGTCCGTGGAGCTGGAGGACGTGAAGTTTCACCAGTGCGTGCGCCTGTCACGTTTTGAGAATGACCGCACCATCTCCTTCATCCCTCCAGACGGGGAGTTCGAGCTCATGTCCTACCGCCTCAACACGCATGTGAGTTCACTTTTATTTATTTATCATATGAATTTTATTATAGGCTTTATTCAACAGGACCAATTTAAACATAGGTAGCGAATTTTTCCATTTAGTTTTGGACTTAATAGAAATATCTTCACTAATTTCCTACAAAACTGCAGAGCTGATTCTCAGATAGTAGCCCTAATTTTTTATAGTGACATTTCACTGTAGTGAGCAGTAACATTTTTAAACTTGTGGGCAAAAATTTCTAAAAAGAACTAAAATCAGAGCTGTACTTTACATACATAAAAGTTTTTCTTGTATTCTAATGATCATAACATTTTTAAAAGCTCTTAAAATGTGATCTGGCATAGTATGAAAGATGCAGAAGAATGGATAGAGACATTCACAGCACACAAGTCAAATGTATTTGCTTAGAAAGGAGACACTAAATTATGTATTTGTGATGTTTTTCTAACTAAACTGTTTATAGTACCAGCTGGTATCAGCGAGAGATCTGAAAAAGTGTCTTTGAGAAGTTGATGTTAAACCCAGATGTTTGTAATTGTTTTGGGGTTGCACTGTCAGTTTGCTATGTAAATATTGATCCTGAAACTTGTACTTCAATGGCCCTATAAACTCTTGACCATTAAACAAGCGCTATGTTAGCATTTTTATCCATCTGAACCTAATTTGCACTCAGATTTATTGTAATTGGGGATATTTTTTGGCAATACTTATTTTTGAGGGCAAAGAAAGTAAATTTTTCAGGATTATTTTAGGTTATTCAGGTTTAAACTGTGATAATGTTACTGTAAGTATTTCACAACACTATTACCAGTAAGTCCGAGTAAAGGAAGGGAAGTGTGTATTATTACTTCCTTATAATTCCCAATCTTTGTTTAGATATCCTCCCAACTGAGACGTGTCACCTTTGATTGGAAAAATGCACAATGCCCAAACAAAACTGAGTCATATTCCCTTTTGTTTAAAGCAAATAGTTACCGGTAAAAGCAAATATGTGGTACTGAGTTAAGTTGGAGCAGAAATGGTGCTTACTTTGTATTGTTTTCATCACACCCAACATTGTAAAATGTTAAATGAAAATGATAGTAGATGGGGTCTTAACGCCTATATGTATAAAAGAATACACCTACTTTGTGCCCATTTCTAATTGATCTCTTGTTGTAATGCTCATTGCTATCCACAAGATGGCGACGCCTGCACGCTATTACGGCACTGTCTTACCAAAGATATAGCAATGATTTTTTTCTTTTTTCAGGTGAAGCCGCTGATCTGGATCGAGTCTGTCATTGAGAAGCATTCCCACAGTCGTATCGAGTACATGATTAAGGTTTGGACACACCTCTCGTGAGCTCCAATGACATTTAGGCAGTGTCTCTTATGTAAGCAAGAGCTAGTTATACTACGAAGTTTACTAACGACGGGCGTGGGGTGCGTTCATTACAATAGACGGCTTCATAATGATTTAGACTTTTTGTTCAGTTGTAAACTCCACCTTTGTAGTTGTAATTATTTGTAGTAGCTTGTCATAGCCGTTCAGGGTTTATATTAGGACAACACTATATTAGCAAAACAAGTCAATTTTGCAACCAACAAGTAACTGGTATTATAAAATTATATGAACACATAATTACAAAAGCAAACATATGTGCCTGTCTGTGAATCTGACAGAGCAGAACTTGAAATATAAATTTAATAAACAATAAAAACACACATACTTACATGCATGCACACATACATACATTCATACATACATACATTCATACATACATACATAAATAAATACATAAAGAAAGTTATTGTTCCAACAAATGTTACTTCTAAATACTACATTAAACTGTAGTACTCTAAAGACTAGGCATATTTTCATCATCAAAACATTAGCTAATTAAACAGACCTGCTCCTTGGTCGAGACATTATCATCATAATGACATCTTATCATCTTGTTTGTTTGTTTTTGTATATTATATAAATAACAAACCAAAATGAATAATTAAATATAATAGACATCACTTCACATCTAACTGAGTGCTCATCTTGTTATTTTTTCCCAGGCCAAGAGCCAGTTTAAGAGGCGTTCCACTGCCAACAACGTGGAGATCCACATTCCAGTGCCAACGGACGCGGACTCACCCAAATTTAAGACGACCGTGGGCAGCGTCAAGTGGGTGCCCGAGAACAGCGAGATCGTCTGGTCAATCAAGTCGTTCCCAGTGAGGAGAAAACATTTGACTCATAATTACATTATAATACAATTGTACAAATGACTGATACAATAGAAAATTTAAGCTGGTGTTGTTTTAGCTTAAGTGGAGTTTTGAATTGGTCTTGGGCGTGGACATAGTTTGGATGTGTCATGTACATTTATAAATATTATCGTATAGCGTGGGAAGAAGTTCACTTGAGTTTATAAAAACCTGACATTTTAGTTTTAAGAATTCATTTTTAGATTTGCTATTTGTTTATTGAGAACTATTAACACACAAGTCTCCACTGTTTTTAATTGTCACTACTTGTTAAATGTATTACATAGTTTAAATATACAAACATTGCAAGATAGAGCTGATAAGAGAAAACAAAACAATTATTCTGTGTTATTTTCCTTTCAAATCAGTATTTGTAAGAATTACTGTTTCTTTAATAATAACAAAACATTTTACCTATATTGCACTTTACATTTCAAAGAAAATTTAAAGCGTTCCAGCAGGTATATCAAGTCACAGTTAAACATATTAACACAAGTAGAAGTACAAGATCATAAGAAATATAAGAAGGGTAATACAAAGTACTAGGATTTTTATCATGAAACATAATCTCTATTCAAACTATACAAGCAAACAAAGTATTTAGCAAATAGGTTACTGGAAAATAGTTGTAAAATGTGTGAAAACTCCTAGTTGCATGTTTCTCTTTGGTATTTTAAATGTTTTGTTTTCATCAGGGAGGTAAGGAGTACTTGATGCGAGCCCACTTTGGCCTGCCCAGTGTTGAAGCTGAGGACAAAGAGGGCAAACCACCAATCAGTGTCAAGTTTGAAATACCCTACTTCACCACCTCTGGCATCCAGGTATATCTCATCCCCTCATTAAAACAAAAAAAAGCACTCCAAAACACACAGAATCACATTTTGGTTGAGGTTAATCGAGGTTACATCGGAAGAGACAAGTCCAACCTGGGTTGTGTCCAAATCAAATATTTTGGATAATTGCGGTACAAACTTGTTTCCTTGCCGTCTTTGATTTAGAGCTTATGGCGTGCTGTCAAGTGTAGTCATGAGTGCAATGTCCACAACAGGAATTCAAACTATTCACTCTCTTTCCCCTTATGGCCAAAGGGGGCAGCAGCGGTTCATTCTCATGCCAGGAACAAGCTGGCAGCCCTCAAGAGTACATTAGGGAAGTTGCGGAAAAGTAGTAATTTTTTTTATTTTGTTTAGAAAATTTATGGCATGCCTCGAAACATGAACACATAATCCAAAACAAAAGTAGGTGTGGAGAGTTTGAACAACAGCAGCTGCAATCCATTTAAATATTTATTCAACAATATTTCATCTGAGCACACAATGCACATGTAAATACAACTCAAATTCTAAAAACAAATAGGACAAAAATAATGACTGTAAGTGACAGATCCATGAAATCAAGTTTAATAATAGTCATATGTTGTTGAAAAAAAAGAAATTGTCTTGTTTTTAATGTCTTAAAGAAGCATTGCTCAAAGTAAAATGCACTTTAATGTAACTTTAATGTTCAAAGGTCCACATGACTCCACTGATATGTTGTTCCTTTGTCTGGAATGTTCCACAGTATAGCATTAATCTTACCTCTTTTTACGAGGACGTGCAGAATGTGCCACCAAGCCAAGTTACAGGTGTGATCTGTGGAGAGGAGACGCCACTTGCAGCAGAATACATGATTATCAAGGCCTTTTCTTTAAGCATAAAAACACCTGTAGTTGAGTAAATGCAAGATAGATCAGTTTAATGCCACACTATGAAACATTCTAGATAACAAGTGGCAGATCCTCCACTAGGAAATTTACATAGCACACTTTTAATATTATTATTGGATGTATTTGGTGTTCATAGATTTCATAATTGCTCAAACTTTCCTACATTAGAACCACTGCGACTCAAACTTTTCACCATGGGCTTGTATTGTCCATGTAGCATTTTCACGTAGCTTTTTACATGCTTGAAGCTTCTTGGGAAATGTGTATGAAATATTACCAGGAACATTTTGCGGCGTGGAAAATTGCATAAACAAGAGCTCATCATTTCGGCCCCTTGCCTGCATGTTAATGACAGTAATTCACAGCTTCAGTAAGCACAGAACTGCATGGAGATTCGCTAGCTTCAGTTCCCATGACACACTTAGACAAGCTAATGTTTTCTCCTTGAATGAAACTTGCTGACCACAAACTTTTAGCGTAGCACTGGCTGTATAATTACACTTGTTCTGTCATTATATGTGTAGCAACTTTGCACACCACACGATGAACGCAAAATGAACTTTTCCCATACATATGTAACAATGGCAAGCTAACACATGCTACTTGTTTTGGAAATATTCTGTTTTGGCACAAGTGACATTGTTTTGTTAGGTATATGTGCTTATGTAATGTAAGCCAGCATTGCGTGGCCTGGTTAGAAAAAAAATCAACATTCGCTTTTGAAAGAAGACTTAAATATCAGCTTATAAACTAAAGAGCTTTGGGTGTCTAAACTCCTGATTCACACAGTTGCATCTGTCTTTATAAATACATCTTTTTCATGTACTTTTTAATGCATGAGTGGTTGTATTTGCATGAACTCCTTTACAGGTGTAGTCTTGTGAGTGCACTTTGGGTCAGATGCACAGAAATATGTTTATAGTTTTGAGAGCTTTTGCCACACCTCCTTTTTAGTCAGCTTTAGTCAATCGGCACAACCTGTCTTTCATCTACCAAGGATCTCTTTTGTCAACTACAGCTAAACTACAACTAAAACAAGAATCTCATGAATTTCAGAACATATTTGAGGTCTAAACTACAGATTGAAGATTTTCTATCAAAAGACAGTATATTTTGTTCTTTGCAGAGGACATTGTATTAAATAATTATAACTCAAATTTACTTTGATTTGATTTAATTGTGATATATTATGAAGCTTGTCTTGGGATTATTCTGTGAAAAATTCTTTTGTCAGGTATACAGGCTTATGTAATGTAAGGTAGCATTGTGTGGCCTGGTTAAAACGCTCGATGTTCACCTTGTTGTTGGGTCAATGTAGGGATATTGCATTACCACCTGTAAAAACGCTGGCCCACTCATTTATCTGAAAGGAACGGCAAGACAATGGTTTCAATAAAAAACCTTTATGGGTCATTTAGCTCAAATAGCAAAGAGGCTAAGTCAACTCGTATTCCTTAGTTTCTCTGACAAACATACTCATAAAAGGAGTTTATATTTTACCCTGTTCTTTTATTTACATCTTGTGAATCTGTTAAAGTTTTCTAGCTCACGATTTTATCACCCTTGGAGTTAAAGTAGATATTTGTTCAGTTTATTATCTTTCCTAAAGTAGTGTTCTTTTTCTATATGCAAATACATTATAATAAATGTCAATTTTGTCCAACATGCATTATTACTTTCTGTTGCAGTAACTGTGAATAAGTTTAAAGTAGAACTGCTGCTTGAATTATAGTTTGCAAATTGCCAGAACTGCATTTTTAAGTCGTATTTTGTCCTCTGCAAACAATTAAATATCCCATCTTTCTAAAGCATGTAATTCTCAAGTATATTTTTAACTAGATACGACACTGATATCGGATATCGGTGCCAATACAGGAAAATCTTCTAGATCAAGTATCGGTTCCATGAGATGAGTCCAGCCGTTATCCTGGTGGGGCCTTTAATTTAATGTAATAAGACAATGTACGAGCTAATGTGAGCCCAGAACACGTCATAATGTTTAAACTACAAAACTGTTCAGTAGTAAGGATAAATAACAGTAACAAAAACAAAACAAAATTTGATTCATTTTGTATTAAATTAACTGTATTTTGAGGGAGAATAAAAGCAATTTTCAGACCCTGCACTGCTACTGGTTCACTGGTACAAGTATTGCACTGGAACTGAGAAAATGGATGAAGTTTTAACTTTAAAGTATTCTTTCGCATCTTTCTCTAATCTGTATCGTGATTCCTGCTTTTTCACATTTCCTTCAATAATCAACAGAATTTGATTAAGACTCTTCACTGCCCACTCGGAAATGACAAATTTCCCCATTACTAGCACAACAATGACATCTTTTATATTTTTTAAAATAAATGTACTGTTATAGAATTGACTAAAAATTTTCATTACAACTAAAGACTATATGCGAATAACTAATATAATGCAACATGATATTTGAGAACTTCAATGTGCAAACAAAATTCACATGTAACAACTGTTTGGCTTAGTAAACATGCACCTACACTTAGGACCACTCTATCTTTAACCTGTCATTTTATTCCCTTCCATAAACCTTGGAACACACATGGACTCCTCTGATTGGCTCTTGGGCGCATTGACTGCATCTTACCTCTTCATTGCGACCTAACCAGCCGTTTTCCCATTAAATTCTTACGTCAAAACATCAACTATTTGTCTTATTACAGGCTGAAGCCAGACCAGCTTTTAACACCAAGCTTGTGTGAAAGAGGAGGCCAGGGAGTTTAATTAGATGCATGTAAATATCAAAGCTTGAGAAAGTTCCTCTTAACTCCACCACTAAGTGTAGAGGAGAGAGATTTCAAGTGCGTGTGATGCAAGAAACTGCACCTTGTAAATTTAACAGGAGTAAACCAACTCTGGACATCGAGTTTATCCACAGTTATGTGTAAACATGTTCAGAATGGGTGAAAGTGGGCAATTTTACATAATTAAATATAAAATGTGAATAAAAAATAGATGCATGTATAAGTTTTAAATGCGCTGGTATCCGCAGGTAGGTAAAGACAGTACCCTGACATGGTAATATAGTAATAGTAGTCATTTTGCTGTAAATATTTTACAGTAGTAACTATTAAAGGTGCACAATATGTAACTTTTTTGATAAGGGTACGCCACCTATCTTTAAAGTGATGTTATTGTTTGAGATTTTTTATTTTATTGGAATGTAAAGCACCTCTTGAGGTCAAAATAAGGTTACGTTTACACTGAAATGAATCACCGTATCACTGTATCAGAAATGATTTGCATCCAGACACGTCGTTTCTGTGTCTGCAGGCCTTCCCTGTCCGCACCACTTTGTGCATATATGTTTAAGTTTTACAGAAACAAAACTTAAAACCACATGGCTAATTTGCATAAACTAGGCGCTCAAAAAACTGACCCGGTCAGCTTCTGTGAGACTAAAGTACACGACTCAGTGGAAAATTTGTGTTCTTTCTGTGACAGAGGGCTGTTCTGCTAATGGTGAGTCTGTTCTGTGCAAGTAGTTGTAGCTACTGTTTCCCATTTGTCTATGGTTTGTTTAACCTGCATTCCGCTATAGTGTCACATGACCGATGTCATGAACCCAGCAAATCAGGAAGGTGCAAGTCACAGTAACGTGGTCCAGTAAGGACGGTAACTAGAGCTCCTACGTCAGTGTATCAATGTTTTCAGGCATCTGCACAGTGCCGCATCTGATCCGTACTCAGATGAATTTGTGGGAGCCGGTAGCAACAGGTTGTTCTGCCGCTGGAGACGTTTTCCATCAAATTAGTGTGGACGAACACTGCATACACAACAAAAGCGACTCGAATAAGTACTAGTGTGGATGGGGCCGCTTCGTGCTGTTTTTTGTTACATAATCAGGAATACACATTAGCTTGCTAGTTGTTAGCTTTACTGTCACAGCAAAACTCTGCTCTGGTCTCTAAAAGTCATCCCAATGAATAATTAGAATGTTTGGAATTCATAAGGTAAATGAGGAATAACTTTGGATCACTGCAAATCATGAAGTAGCTTTTGAGTGCCTTTAATACCATATAATCTACACGGCAAACAGTTTTGTCACACCTCATTCTATCTTTTGAATATTTCTGCAAACTCTGACTTAGTTTTAAAAGGACATAAACACGTTGGTAGAAGTGTGTTAAAGTCTTGATAACAGCAGACCACACATGTAGGCTGTACTTAACCAAAAATGATACAACAAACATCCTCTTTCCCCTTCTCATCTCACATAACCTATAATGATATTCTGTGTCGGAGGAGTTTTTGCTGACTTGCGCAGCCTCGGTCAGATGGGCGACTGCGTGTTTGGAGTTTGAAATGCTGATCCCAGAGTCTGCTATTTGTCGTCATGTGTCTGAGGCTCTCTCCGTCTCCCTGAGCTCACAGAGAGAGAGGGAGGCTAATGACAAGGCAGAGAAAGGACTGGACCCAACATCTAAAGCTGTGGAGATTCTGCCTCCAAATGCCCCGCTTCTCACAGCAGGAAGTAGGGCACTGGAGACGGGATGGGAATAGGACCAAGTCTGGGCCATATTGACAAAAATAAATACCTACATTTTTTGGATTCTGTCGATAATTTGATTTTACATGTCTTCAAAGTGGCTATTTTGATATAATCTTGTAGACTACAGTGTATTGTCCACCTGTACACAATATATCTAATCAAAATGTTTCGACTACCACATCACAATGGCTTAAATTATATATGTATTTATTTTTCTTCTTATGAAAAAATGAACCCTATAGTTGAGACCTAAACAAAGATGTTCTGAAATGCATGTGATACTTGTTAAAGATTGGCAGGTCGTATTTTAGTCTTAGTCTTAAACGTGCACTTTGAGCTTAATCTTTATTTAAAAGCAAATCTAATTGTAAATGCAATAAGAAAAAAAAAAAAAATCCCCAGTTCGTGTAAACGCATACACGATACTCAAGTCTAATTACAACTGACATGTTCCAGAAATAATACAAAAACAGAAAATGAAAACAAAAACAAACAAAAAAAGTCTAAAAAATAACAGATGAATAAAAATGTAATTTAATGTTCAAACCATTTTCCATTGCAACATTCAAATCATTTATACCTTTGGCTCCTTGTACCTTTGACTGCTTTTAATTTGATGTCCTTGAGACGCAGCCATAGACTGTATAATTTATGTACAAAGACAACAGAAATGGACAATTTAAGTGGCTAGGCTTGCAATTACAAAGAGAATTGCATTAGCATACTTGGAATTGACTGCAATAACGCCTAAATTAAGAGCTATGACGTCTATTTATTTAAGGTTGGGTAACACTTAATACTGAATAATAATTAAGCAATTATAATAATGCATGTATATTGTTGCATCCAGAAATCATGCATAAGCAAAAAATAAAACAAACATGACTTCAGTTTTTTTTTGTATTACATTTCTAAGAGATGTACCCGCAGAATGGGCGAGTGTGCACATTTGGGTGAGATGTCGAGAAACATGTAACTTCGGACTGCCAGGCACCCATGCATTCTCTGTCTCACTATTTTTAGATCAATTTCTCGTCATGCTGTTGAAATATCAGTTAATGGCTTGTGAAAGTGGTCTTGGATAATGCTGATGTGTAATTTTTGTGGACCCAGAGAAAGTACATTTAAATGGCCCATATGTGTGTGCCTTGAAAGCTTTGACCACTTCCTTTTTTTACAGTGACTAATACTATTACTTCCTCACATATTGTACTGAACACACTGGCACCTGGTATTGCATAGACGCAGCCAGTTCCCACAGAAATCTATTGGGACATCTCAGACTTGAGGCTGGTTTCAAAATATTTCAAATCAGTTTATATCAAAATGTGCAACTCAAATTTCAGACGTCCATTCAGAATTGTTAGTATTAGTTTATTATCCATGAAAACAATTTATTTTCCATATTACACGGTTCTCAAAGGGCTTCACTTTTTTGTCTTTTTATCCATTTTTGTCTCCGTATGTTTGATAATGGTGAGCTGCTTCTGTAGGGCTGTCTTTCGTTACCAAACCAAATTAAGACATGGCTCTGTATCTGTTTTTTTTACTGTCTGAAAAATGTGAAGTGGCCCAAAGTTTTTCCTCACTTACCTTATCCATTCTGAACTCACTAATTAATCACCAATATGTGTTTATAAGTGTCTTTCACAACCCTCAGAAACCAGAGCAGAGTCTTACAGACAGTAAAGCTAAGAATAACTAGCAAGCAAACGTGCACTTTCAGATGCTTATACAATATATCTGTACTGAGGCAGGTCAAATTTAGCTCAAATACATGCTCTTAAACTATAATTATACTTGCACAGTGGGTCAAATGTCTTGCCCTGTGACACAGTGGCACGGGTTGAATCACTGACCTTGGGCCGGTGACGTGGTAAATGGCGCCTCTATTGTCTCTCATATGCTAACTTCAGTGAGTCCTGCAGTAAATGAGCTCTGTGATTTGAGGGGAAAGGACATCTTAATTTACTGTCTGTTGAATCATATCCATAACAACGGAGAAGAACACAATGAGCTTTTTCGCCATAATTCTCTGTGTTTGTTTGGTGGATCCGTGACTGCTCTAATTGTTGACTAAATAATATGTTGTAACTCCTTGTGATAGTCAAAATAGCAGCAGCTGTCAAAGTAAAACAATGCCGTATGGAAATTGTGTGAATGGCATTTTTTTGTATTTCTGTTTGCAATAATACACTGTATACATGAAAGGATAGACCAATATTTAATAATAACTACACTTTAATTAGTCTGATAAGGACGCAGGCTTGAAAATGACTTATTGTGTGTTTTAGAATTGATTTTAAGATTTTACTGATCACTTTTAAAGCTCAATTAGGTCTCACATCAAGTTACATTTCAGAACTTTAACCCTGTACGAGCCTCCTGCAGCCTTAAATCCTCAGGCAGGTCCTTGATGGCTGTTCCAAAGTCCAGGTTCCAGACGAAGGCTGATCGAGCCTTTTCAATCCGGGCGTTTCGGCCTCGGAACAAGCTGCCTGGGGAAATGAGGCTCGCGCCATCAGTATCATCTTTTAAATCACTTCTTAAAACCACTTTCAGGTGGCCTTTCTTTAACTGGTTTTAGCTTTGTTTTCTTTTTGCATTTCCTTTTACTTTTAATTTTTTGCTTTTAGTTTCAAATAGAGCTGTTTAGAACTCGGGGGGGGTCAATGCGATTGGTCTAACAGGTATCCTGATTTCAAACTCCGCCCCTGCAGCCACGTGTTTGTACCGGTAATCAGGACAGTGGTCAATGGAGCACAGGATGCACTCATTTTTATGTTTTCAACCAGAAAGCTGCAAGTGTACCTGGTTTGCACTAAAATGGTGAATGAAAAAGCACGAGGAACAGTAGATGATGCTGTTAAAACACAATATACACAGTTTAGTATGAGTAAAATTTTTATTTTTTTTTTGGCAATTATGTCGTTGAAAAATGTGTAGCTGCAAATGATGTCAATCTGTGTAAAAAATACCCTAAAAACGAGCATATATTCCAACTGATCCCGATTTTGTTTCTTTCAGGTTCGTTACTTGAAGATCATTGAGAAGAGCGGGTACCAGGCCTTACCGTGGGTGCGCTACATCACTCAAAACGGAGGTAAGCTGAGAGGTCAAATTTTCCTTCTTACACACGAGCGGGGCATGCCCATATGTGCTGCTATTAGGCAACTATTGGGTAACGCTGTGCAATGTGGTGGGAACTTATGTTTAAAAAAAAAGACTTCCAGTGTAGAACATGAGGCAACGCGGCCACGTCCGGAGAAATCTGAGAAAGTCAACTCGTTTTGACTTGATATTTTTTGTTCAAAGATTACCGTATTAGCACATGCTGGTCTTTTTTGCTAATGTTGCCGCTAATTGCCAAACATCCTCCTCTCATTTCCTTCGACTTTTCATTTATTTTTGGGTGGAAACCTCAGCTGCAGCCCACTCTTGAGTTCTTTCCAAATGTCCATTTTATTTGTGCATTTGATTAACTCGAATTCATTTCCTCCACAGATTATCAGCTCCGGACCCAGTAGGCCTTGCTCTACGGCGACAGGTGGAGCTCCAGCAGAAGGGGCGGAGTTTAGTTTGCTAATTATCTTTCAAAGGCAGATTAGCGCTCAACTTTTTTTATTTTTCTCAAGATATTTCCATTTCTTATCAATGCAAGTGTTAAAAAAGGCCTTTGAGTTGGCTGCTGTGCAAATATCCACAAGGCCAAGACAAAACTGGAGAAATGTTTACATCCAACTTAAAGTTGCACTATGGAGCCTTTCTGGAGGGTCTGCCACTTGCTCATCTCCATGGAGATGTTACTGCTTTGCCTGAAATCTTAAAAGAATGGCTTAAACTTGTTTATCTCTATAGAGAGCACATAATACCACTGGATAAAGTTATAGATTAGATCTGTGGAGAGGCGACACAGAATGCAAGTTTTTCAATATTTTTTCAGTAATAAATGCACTTGTTATTGAATAAAAGTAAGGTACTTCAGTTAAATGCCATACTGTGGAACAGTCCAGGCTGAACAGTAACATCTTCAAGGAGAAAAGCTGGTGTTGGACCCTTGCTTGAAAAGTTACATAGTGCGCCTTTAACACCATGAATTGTACACAATCAAGGAGATTATTGCAATTCGTCTTGTGATACTGTAACCTTCAGTTCTCGTCAGTTTAGATCTACTTTTTTTTTTAAAAAGAAGCTGTTTTGTTCTGGCGCCATTTCACTATAAAGTCAAGGATTATTATCTGTATATATTGTTACATGTAATAAGTCAGTGTTATTAGTTACAACAATGTATTGAAGAAAATGCCAATGGTATTTGCCAAGCCTCGGAGCGACCGCTGTTCATTTGATCCGTGTGATGCTCATGTGCTTTGCAGATTTAAGCTGTAGGGACAATATGAGAGGTGTGGTATGGGTCAACAGTGTGGTGTGTATATTCAAAATGTATAGTAGTATTAATGGTATTAACAGTATAAAAGACAAAACAGATCAGTGACTGAGAGTACTTACTGCTTTTTAGAAAACTATATATAGACTAGACTATTATAAGTCAAGGGTAATCATCAAGTTAGAGCTGTTGGTGCATCTGATCAGTAGTATTTAGGTCACGCATAATTCACAAAGAAGCTTTTTAGGGCTGCAACTACAATTATTTTGCACATTGATTAAATCTTTATTTTTTGTATCATAAAAGATACTCAAAGCCTGCAAATATGAATTTTTACCAAGTTTGCACCACAAAAAGCTAAAACTAACCAAGTAGCACCACTGATTTTTATATTATTGACTAAGTACATAGCATCTTTAATGGTCTGTGATCCAGATAATGTTTATTGATTAGGAAATTAGCTATTGAGTAATTATTTAGTCAAAATGAATCCCGTATGTTGTTGCAGCCCTAGAGTTTTTCGACATGACTTGAGCAGTGTTTTTATTTTTACATGCTCCCGTTTATAACATGGAAATTGGTCCAAAATTAACAAAATTATAATTGACAACATGAGTATTTTTGTTCTCATCAGTATTATGTTATATTACACTCTTGGTTTACACTCCATTCTCAAAAATATACCTCACTGATCACACCATAGCAAAATAGTGTTAAACAACAGCATTTCTGAGCCTGTTTGTGGCTGTGGAAAGTTACCGTCCTGACCGACCCGTACCATACCTCTCCAGTGGAAACTTCAGTAAACAACAGTCGCACTTGTTGTAAATTTCTGTTTTCCAGTCGGACACCTGTTTCCCCTCCCCCTCCCCCCGTCTGTAACCTCACATTTCAAATCATTAAAAGTCTATTTAGAAACCTTTCCACAGCGTCTGCGTCATTTCACAGTGATGTCAGGGCAGTCTTCACACCGCGCTGCCACACGGTCATTCACAGGCACAGCTCCAAAATCAAATATGGAGGGAAAATCACGACGGAAAGAGAGCGGGATGGGGAGGGGGAGGAGGGATTCCCAGAGGAGAGCATGGTGACATTGTTTAATTTAGGACTGCTCGTATGTCAAATTTCGTCATCACAATTACAATTTACAAATGCACTACGCAACGTTTTTGTTATTACTTTGCCTGGTATGTTCCATTTTAATTTTCTTTTCTCCTCAGATCTGACCTACTGTGGAACATTCCAGGCAAAGCAATAAATTCTCCTTTGATACAGATGGCAGATTTTGTGAAAAGCCATTGTGGAATAACCATTTATTTTTCCTTATCAGTTCACTGTATCTATTTTGCTCCCCTGTATAACACAAAATTTATTCTTGTGAGCTTTAAACCATGTCTCTAACTGTTAATAGCTCCTTTTTACCTTTAGTTGAGTAGAGATTTGATATTTCAGGGCTGAAATGATTCTAGTGAAAGTGTATGGAGTTTAAAAACAGTGGAGCAGTGTTTTCCATTTGAGAGAAGAATCAGCCTAAATATGCAGTATTTGTGTGTTAAATGTGTGAATGAAACAAAACACAACTCAAGGTATGTTTGTGATGAGGAAACACTGTAACAAAGCACAAAAAATTGTGTAATATGGGCCCTTTTTTACTAATACTTGCAATACAATTTGAAAAGACCAGCATCTTTGATTTGTAGAATATATATTTTTAGCATAGACTGTATATATGATTCTTCTTTTACACAATGTATTCTACTTCTATATTTATATTTATTCTAGTCTACTTCTTTTATACTATCTATTATTTTTAGGTAGGGCTTGGCCTTGCGACACAGAGGGCACACTGGAAAAAAAAAAATCTACGCAAGTTAAAATGGCTTAAATTAAGAACATTTTACTTTATTTGAGTCAATTCAACGTGACAAGTATAATGATCTACCTGTGGAGTAAGTATATATATTTTTTAATTCAAGCAACATTCGATTTTGTTTCTTATTTTAAATGCTGTTGTTTTTAAGTGTAGCAAGATGTATTTTCATATTTTAAGTACAAAAAGTCTTGTTCGACTGGCAGATAATCTGACTTGTCGAAATGTACTCAAATCATGATAAAACTTTCTTAATTCAAGTCATCTTAACTTGACTAGATTTAGTTTTTTGCAGTGCATGAGCTTAATTATAAAATCTCATATTGTAGTAGGAGCAGAAATGATTGTTTATTAAATAGTTTTGATACCTGCATGTATTTTTGTATGTACTTTGCGGAATTACTGCAAAAAACTAAATGTTGTCTGTGCTTTTCCATGTGTCAGTACAGTTTTTTCCACCATCCCTCTCTCCCTCCATCTCTCTCTCTCCCTCTCTCTCTCTGTACCACCCTCTCCATAATCCCCCTGTCCCGTGATGTCATGAACCTTTCGCACCATCCCCTCCGTAAACACACCAAGGATATGACTCAAAATGTGGCTAACTCTCCCATTTCTCCGCTGCACTCTCATTTCTCTGGTACTTTTTCAGATAGTCCTGGTACTGTGCAGCCCGGGCCCTGTGCAGTGGTTTTGTGTGAAGTCATCCCAGTCTTGTTAGCGGATAGTTGGACCCCAGTGACTCATTTGGAACAGGTGCTCGGAGCTGTGCGCCTGGATTTAAACAGTTTTTGCTCTCCTCACTTGTCATATTGTTCAAAAACCACGGTGAGATTTTTGCGTCTTCACACTCTCCCTTGGACACCTGTTTTTGGTTGGGACGCCCACGCAGCAGGTGTTACAACTAAATGAGTCACATGATTATACGACAAAATAAAACTGGCCTTGAAGGGGTCCTGGAGTGTTGTAAATTCAGTTTTTTAATAGCTCAAGATTATAGGTTTGGAACTATGTCATGCAATTATAGGTGTGCGATGTAACTTTTCTTCAACTTGCTTCTCCATTGAGTTAGTTGGTTTGCCTGAAATGCTCCATGGTGTGGCATTAAGTGTATCAATCTTGAATTATTGTATCTGTGTCAGTGTTTTTTGCTCAAATACACCTCAAAAACATGCAATCCTTTGATTTCAGGAGCTACACTGCAGATTTCTCTGATCTGGACAAAATTTTTAAACTTCTATCAGGTTATTCATCTTGTTTTCGGATTTATTATCAATTTACTAGTTCTGAGACTGCTTAATTCTAGTCTAGAGGTAGTTTATTCTAAGATAACTTGTCAAGTTAAATTATCTTGCTGCATGGACAGATAATTTCACTGCTTTTAAGTCATATTCTGCTAGATTTAAGTGTTTATATCTTACATTTTGTCCACGCGTTTTTTGCAGTGTAAGCATGGTTGGACCTGGGTAGTGGAGATGGGGACTTACAAGTCGTGACTTGGACTCGAGTCAGACTTGAGGCACTATTTTTAGGACTTGAGACTTGACTTGATAAAATAAACAAAGACTTGGGACTCGACTTGGACTTGAAAGTCAGAGACTTGGGATTTGACTCGGACTTGAGCCCTGTGACTTGAGAAGACTTGAAGCTTCTCCAAAAAAATTTATGTTTGTAGAAAATACTTTTCTCTTTACAGTTGGTACATGCTGTGAATTTGCTCTGAATTTTACAGCAACAAACTGGAACATTTCCCTCCCACTTTTCTGTTTGTTACTTTGGATCAAACTGAAGTACTGTGATACAGTATCCACAAATGTACTACAGTAATATACAGTACAATACAGTCAAACAGAGGAAACTACGGAGAACATGATATTTCCATTTCAGTGCAGACAACACGACAAAATAACTAAATAATCTTTCTATTCAGACTGTAATAATTCACACTCTTGTCAAGACATTTAAAAAGGAAAAATTAGCACTTCTACAACTCTTATATAAATACTCATATATAAATATACCAGAACTTTTTAAGTAAAATTTAATTTAAAAGTCACATAAACTGCAAAAATCTACGCTATATTTGGAACTTTTTTTGGTTTAAAGGCTTGAAATGACTGGAATGACTGGAAGCTCAAAGCAAACGACTTGGACTTGACTTGGACTTATGGGCCAGTGACTCGAGACTCGATTTGGACTTGCTTGCCTTTGACTTGGGACTTGACTCGGACTTGAGGTCAAAGATTCGAGACGTACTTGAGACTTGAGACTGCTGGTTAGTGCTTGGATGAGAGACTGCTGGGGAAAATCAGGTGCCAGGTGAGACGCCATGTGCAAAAAAAAAAAAAAAAAAGTTGTGTCCTTGGCAAGGTGCTTGACCCACATAGCTCAGTATGAATATGGTGTACGAGTGTTGTCGGAGGGGCTGATGATACAGACAGCTCCTTTTCCCAGCTTTACTTCTATCTACTGGCTACAATAGAACCTAACCAGCTCTGAATGTGGAGTGAAGAAATAATGCAATGTAAAGCGTTTTTGACCTTACACAGTACTCTGACCTGCAACTTGTTCATAATAACATATTTGTGCATTGTGTTTGTTCTGTTAGTAAATTCAACTAATTTGAGTCAGAGCAAGTAGAACTTACAATAAAAGTATTAGTGAATAGTTATTAGTTTGAAAAGTTGATATTTATGCTGCTTGTCTGCTTTAAATGTGCTAACACTGATCTTCTATTGAGAACAAGTTGCCGTCTATCTGGGTCTGTGTTAAATGCAGGGCTATCCCTTTCACCTGCCTGTAACCCCCAGAGTCACCCAAGTTACATAAACACGAGTTGAGATAGTGATCTAAAGCTGGTCTCTGCAACGGCGTTTCCCTGTTCAGCACAAATGGAAAAGTTTAAGACTAATCTGTTGAAACCCTATCTACAGATAATGTCATATTTCTGTGGATTTGACTCTATCGGGGCTTTCAAACTATTTTGTCTTCAGTTCAGATACTATCTGTGTGTGCTCAGTGTTGCATGGGGCAGCTTTAGCGTAGAGGTGACTGACAGGTATGAGGCTTGTCATAATAAAGTACATTGAATGGACAATGATATTATCTGATCTGGATATTGACATGGGTACTGTGTTTTTGAGAAATCCTTTACAGTGAATCCATTCTTTGATTTAATCGTTACCAAGAATTATATGATTGTTTAACATCAATAACTCACATGTAGCTTAATGAAGTTGTTCACTGAAAATTGTGTTCAGATAGTAACCCTTCACAAAGATATTGCTCAGTATTCCTTCTGCTGGAGCGGAGAGCACTAGTAATACATAGAAATACATTACAATCCATATATGGGCGGCGGTAGGTCAGTTAGTAAAGTGCTCGTCCTCTGATCTGAGGGTCAGCGGTTCGAATCCAGCTCTACATAAACACCATTGGTGGAGCGGTCAGATCCACTGACCCACAGGTGGGTGGTGCGAGTCCAGCTCCCACAGATGAATGCTGTCGTTGTGTCCTTGGGTGAGACACTTAACCCCTCTCACCTCCAGTGTGTGTGTGTGTGTGTGTGTGTGTGTTAATGGTGAGTGGTTCTTTTATTACAGAAAAGCACCATACATGTTATATTTCACAAAACGTTCAAATTAGCTTTTGACTATACTATAATAAGGGGTCCCCAACTCCCGGGCCGGGGACCAGTCCTGGGCCGTGGGCCATTTGGTACCGGGTTGTGAAAGCGCAAACCCCCTCCCATATGCCGCGTGGACTGTCCTGACTAAACCAGGACTAAACCAGGTTTAAAAACAGGTCTAAAACCAGCACTAAAACAGGACTAAAACAGGATTTAGGACTTAACCATGCTGTGTGGACTGCCTCCTCCCATACGCCCCCCCAACCCTGAAATATTGTCTGATATAAAACCAGTCCGTGGCATAAAAAAGGTTAGAGACCACTGCTATAATAGAAATCAAAAACATTTCTGTAGTTTTAGTTGTTCCTGATTATTGCAGAAGTCCATTGTACAACCTTACATTATAGTACAGATATATTATAAAAACA